TTTAGTAATATTACGTAAATGAAACACAAGACTGTCAATAATAAAAATAATAAATATGCTCCATTAGATCAGTTCCAGTTGAACATATGTAGAATAAAAAGTCAATAAAGAAACACGAGCTAATAAAGCAAACAGTGAAACGTCCAAACTGAGATAAAAACTCATCACAGCTCGCTAACGGACTGAGGCAAAGCTAACTTTAATATTCTGATGGTTTTGATGAGTGTAATCCTCCTTCAGGTTCCTCTGAGGCTCAAGGGCACGTCAGCAGTGTGTGTGGTCGCCCTGCAAACCGCCACGCTGACGGCGGGATGCCTCATATTTGCATAACGTGTGTGTGTGTGTGTTCAGCCAATCAGAGGAGATCATTCCTCCACCATCAATCAGTGATGAACCAGGAGGAACTGTCTCTTAAGGTGGATTTTTTAAGGCGCTGTTGGAGGTGAACTGGAACTCGTCATGCAGGTATCCTGACAGCTCTGCTGCAGACGACCCGTATGCTTCCTGACGCGTCCGTTAAAGGACGTCTCTGCTCGTCCTCTCAGGTGAGACCATGAGGGCAGAAACTCACCTGTTAATGAGCTCAAATCAGAATCTTTATCTTTAATCTTTATCCTGCAGAACACAGACAGCGGCCCGCTGTGCTAAAGACACACAGCTGTACCACCAAGGACCTCTTCCAGATAGACCACCTCAAGCTCCATAGAAACCTTTTAAAGAACTCCTTTGGATCCCTGAAACACTGACACCCCCTTAAAGACTTGAGATTACCCTCCCCATTAAACGTTGCTGGGATCAACCGAAGGACTGGTTGAACCTAAAAGAACCTCCTCATCCTGTTAAAGTCCCGTAAAGATCCTCTCTAAAGACACAACTCTGTGACCTTTACAGTTTTTTCCTGTGCGAAAACATATAAAAGGTCTCTCTCAGAACCTCGTGGAGGAATCTAGAACGACCCCTGAAGTCTCTATTAAACCCCCTCAAACCTCCTCTGTGTAAGAACTACTTGAACCCCTTAAATGAAAACCTTTATATGCCTTCAAGAGCCCCTAGAACCACAACTGAAACCACTTTAATGTTGTCTAGAATGTCATCCAGGACCCTTGGGACGTCTTTAATGACCTCTTTTATCTTTGCAAGGACATTTGAAAGTCTGATTAAGTAACAACTGGAACCAAAACCTCAAAGTGGCCCCTGAAAACCTTCCTGGAAATACATAAAGATTTGTGGAACCAAACTCCCAAAACTAGTGGAAACCCCTCAGACCCCCTCATGTAACTGTAACACCTTCTGAAGAGCTGCTAAAATCCTTCAAGGACCCTGAAATACATGAATTATATGAACAGTGAACAGTTAGTACCAGAGCACCAACATAACACCTCAGAATGATCCAGAATCCCCTCTGGACTTTCTCTCCTGGTTCCTTTACCCTCTCCCTACCCGTCTGTCTGTGTCAGCAGTGGAAAGTTTCTGTTGCCTCGTGCTCAGTGTTGACAGGAGTTTATGAACATCACAGATTATGATGACGAGTCTGAACAGGACCAACGGAGGAGGAAGAATCTACGATCGGTAGAAACCTGTTAGAAAAAACTCCTCTTTCTTCCTCTTTTTATGTCCTCGGGCTGAAAGCTTCCTTCACTCCACCTGCTCTGACAGTTCATAAACACATTTTATGTGTCATGTTGCAGACTTTTATTCAGATTTAGTAACCAGATATCAATGCCCCCCCCACACACACCCGTACTCCAAGAATGACCCCTGAATGCTGCTTGAAGACCTCCTGAACACCCACAGTTAGGTTCAGGTGTCAAAGGGCAACCAGAGGGGGATCTTTCTGGTCTCTTTGGGGCAGAAACACTTTGAGTTTACCGACCACACAAAGCTCCTGAAACCCCTTTAAGGACTCTCTTAAGTATCTCCAGACACTATGAGACACTATGAGACACATTCAGACACTTTCAGACTCCTTTAAGACTCATCGAACCTCCCTAGGAGCCCCTGAAACCTCCCTAGGAGCCCCTGAAACCTCCCTCAGACTCCTGGAAACACTTTAAGGATTTTTTAATCGTCTTGAAACTCTTCTCGCTATTCCTTGAGTTGACCCTGACGGCCAAAATCTCTCAAACAACTCACAGTTTGGAGTCACTCACATCCTCTGACGCCACCCAACTGACCCGATCGGTACTGAGCATGTGCAACTCTCAACAGAGGGGAGAAGGAAGCGAGGTTGTTGTTGGTCACATCGGGGCAATCCTTAGCGCCAAAATCCACTGGGCACAGTGTAAACAGCAATAATTACTGTAGTTTCACAGATAATGACTTTTATTTTTTACATTCTATTAACTTTTTAACATTCACATTCAAATAATAATAATCCAATAATACAGCACTCTGCTGTAAAATGTAAGCCTGCATTATTCGTATTATGCAGAGTTCACTGGATTTATATATCATTTCGAGGGGTGGGTGGGTTGTGTTGGGTGGGGTGGGATGGGGGGTGGTGTTTGACAGGTTTTACACTGTAAATATCTTTATGTTATTTTATTTCTGCTGGAATATTATGATGTATTTATTTTACAGTGAAGGTTTTTATGTTTATACTAATAATGTATGAATGATGGTATTCATATAAGATTATAATGTTTAGTATGTTTAATAAATGAGGTGATATATGTGCACACATACCAATGACACTGAGGTCAGAGGTCAGTATCAGACTCCCTTTAGAAAACGTTGTTGAGTTTTAAGAACTTTATCGACTCTGTGAAACGTCTCCGACAAATTCTGAATCATTTGTCTCGTAAAGTCAGCAAATACTGAATTTCTGCTCTCGGAGAAACATCTCGGACGGTTGCGGTTACGTTCACACTTCAGGTCAAAGTTCAGCTCACACGGCGGCTGAATTCTCTATCAACTATATAAAATAAACTATATAAAATAATAAGATGATATGAAATAAAACATTTGACTGTTTTTAAGTATGAATAAATAAAAAAGATTTCTGTCCTTTAATGAACATAAAACAGGATTCATTAGTGTGTTCATTAAAGCTCAGTATTGATCTCTCTGTGCTGCACAGTGCTGCCACCCTGTGGTCACTGATGGAGGTTCAGCTGCAGAAGATGAAACAACACTGCCACCGTGTGGCTGAAACATCGAACTGCAGCAGAATAAGATAAAATGTTCCTTTAATACTAATAATAAGAATCATTTTCACTATAACAGATTTATTTAATCCCAGAGGCATCAGGTAGGACTACAGACACTCACTGAGGGACGGAAGAGATAAAATATATAAAGACTAAAATCTAAATAAGAATAACATTTAAAACATTTATTTTTATCATCAAACTTTATTTTACAGGTTTGTTGATCTGATCCACTAAAATACAGAGAGTTTATTCTCACTGGAACAAGCTGCCTTCAGTTATTAGTGAATTTTATAGAAGATAATAATAATTGATATTAATAATTTCTCCTGCGAGTTTATTAATATTATAAAAAAATACCTGAAAACCTCAAAAGCATCAGACTCCACCAACTGTCCTTTCACACTAAACACTAAAATGTTCCAGGACAACAGATTATTTCCAGGTTTTTCAGGACGAGTTGGAAATCTAAGCTGCAACAAATGATGTCATTAAGTTTTGATTCTTACTAAAACTGCAATTAAAGTAAAACTGCAAAATCCATTATTGTACTTTATACCCACATTAACAGCTGCAGTCATATATGAACTGTCCTAATATCACTGTAAAATAAAAGTATTGTATAATAATTCACATCGGCCTGTAATATTCAAATTATTACCCATCATGCACTGCAAAAACATGATTAGTTTATTGTGAAAACCTGCTGATTATAAATAATCTTATTGTCCTGATTTCATTTAATAGTTTCTCTCACTGTGAATCTGTCGTAGGATCCTTTAAAGTCAGCGTGATGTTGAAGAGAGAAAACGACGCCGAGGAGTTTGTTCACTTTTACTTTAATTAAAAAACACAAACGAATATTCAACTGAAGAAAAACCAAAAATCACAAAACTGTTAATGAAAACTGATCAAAGAGGAAATATTAAACTGAGAACCTCCAACTGTCCTCCGATCAGTCCGATCAATCAGTCCGATCGATCTGATCAGTCTCCTGCACAACAGAAAGACCTCCCCGTTAACTGAAATATGACCCAATCTTTATTTAAACTCTGCTGGGAACAAAAACACTGACGTCCAGGACAGAGTTAGCCTAGCTTAGCACAAAGACTGGGAGCGGGTGGAAACTGCTAGCCTTTAAAGTGTTCATTATCCTGAGAGCTGCTCGCCGATCGGCCGGCGGCGCTCTCACAGCGGTTTGGGCAGACCCGAGACCTCCTCGGCGCACTCGTCGTAGGCCTCCTGGTAGTCCTGGTGGGGTTTGATGAGGATCACGCAGGTCGGCCTCTTGGAGCCGGCAGACGAGCCCAGATCCTGAAAGCAGAGCGGGAAACGCTTTAAAGTTAACTCCTCTCTCTAAAGAACCGCAGAGCGCTCTGACCCGGCGCCCGGACCGCCGCCGCACACTCACCACTTTAGACGGGATGTAGGCGTACGGCAGGTTCCGGTCCTCGCACATTACCGGCAGGTGACAGTAGACGTCGATGGGCAGCGTGTCGCCGGCCAACACCACGATGCTGCAGAGACAACAAACAAACAAACAAACA